TGGAGGCAGTTCAGTTTTATCTCTTTAAGGGTCTGCAGCATTAAAATGTTTTTAATTTCTTGTGATGCTTACTGATACAAAATGCCAGTGGATGATAAGATGGAGAAAGGCTATATGTCCCTGCTATGAATTTTGTGAAGCAGAAAGTTGGATCTGGATTTTGAATTTAGTATGAGGTTGACTTGAAAAGAATTAAACCTTTTAGTTTGAGATAGTTGTAGATTCACATGCAGTTGTAAGAAATAGTACAGAGAGACACTGGGTATTACTTCGTCTAGTTTTCTCCGATAGTGACATCTTGGAGAACTATTGTGCAATATCACAACCAGAATATTGACGCTGAGATAGTTAATGAAGAGAACAGTTTCATCCCCACAAGGATCACCCTTATTGCCCTTTATAACCATACCCTCTTCCCTCTGTCTCATGCCCCTCCTTCCAACCCCTGGCGACCACTAATCTCTTCTCCAGTTCTGTACTTCTGTCATTTTGAGGATGTATGAATGGAAGTGTATGGTCTGTAACCTTTCAGAGTTGGCTTTCTTTCACTTAATGTAATTCTCTGGCTATCCATCCTGGTTGTTGCGCGTGTTAACAGTTTGTTACTTTTTTTATGATTTTTTTTTGATGTGGACCATTTTAAAAGTCTTTACTGAACCTGTTACAACATTGCTTCTGTTTTATGTCATGACCCTCTGGCTGCGAGGCATGTGGGACCCCAGCTCCCCGACCAGGGATTGAACCCACACCCCTTGCCTTGGTAGGCGAAGTCCCAACCACTAGACTGCCAGGGAAGTCCCAACAGTTTGTTACTTTTTATTGCTTAATAGTATTCCTTAGTATGGCTGTACCACGGTTTATTTAACCATTTACCTGATGAAAGATACCTGGATCATTTCCAGTTTGGGTAGTTACAAATAAAGCTGTTGTAAAATTGATGTACAGATTTGTGTGTGGATGAAAGTCTTCATTTCTCTGGGATAAATGCTGATGAGTTTCTGGGTTCTCTGGTAGCTGCATGTTCAGTGGTTCATTTGTGTTTTAGAGAAACTGCCAAACTATTTTCCAGCCTACCTGTACCATTTTACATCCCCACCAGCAGTGGTATGAGTGATCTAGTTTCTCTCCATCCTCAGCAGCAGGTGGTGTTGTCACTCTGTTTTATTTTTGCGATTCTGATAGGTGTGTAGTGATGTCTCATTGTGGTTTTAATTTGCATTTCCCTAATAGCCAGTGATATTGAACATCTTTTCATGTGCTTATCTGCCAGTTGTATAGCTTCTTTGGTACAATGTGTCTGTGCTTTTGGTACCAGATCTACTCTTTACCTAGATTCTGAAGACTTTATCTTATTTTTTTACTTCTGGTTTTCTGTTTTACATTTAAATCCGTGATCCATTTTGAGTTGATATTTTGTATAAAGTGTCAGATGACTTAGGTTGATGTTTCCTTTTTGTTTTTCTTGTGGAGAGCCAGTTGCTCCAGCAACATTTCTTGAAGAGATTGACTTCCCTCTGTTGTATTGCCTTTGCACCTTTGTCAAAAGTCAGTGGGCCGTACTTGTATGGAGCTAGTTCTGGATTCTCTGTTCTGGTCCATTGATCTGAGTGCCTGTTTCTCTGACGATGCCATACAGTCTTGATTACTGTAGCTGTATAATAAGTCTTGAAATCAGGTGGAACAGTTTCAACCACCTTATTCTCCTTTTTCAAAATTGTTTAGGCTCTTCTGATACTTCTGCTTTCCACATGAATTGTAGGATAATCTTATTGATATCTACAAAAAAAGTCTTGCTAGGATTTTGATAGGAATTTCAATAAACCACGCTGTCAGTTTGGGGGAAATTGACATCTTTACCGTGAGTCTTACTATATATGAACATAGTATATCTCCTTTTTGTATTCATTTATGAGATGGTCAGTCAGGAGCGGCCACAAGAGGAGAGAGAGGAGGGGCTCAGGAAAATAAAGTTTATTATGTTTACAGGTCCTAGAGACAGGCATGACATACAGGGCCGTACGGAAAAAAGCCAAGGTGGTCAGGAGGCAGAAAAGGGGAGTGCTTAAGCCATAGCCTTTATTGGGGTTTCCACGGGAAAGGCGAGGCAGGATAAACACCTTAGAATTGGCTAGTCTGAATAATTTCAGCAGGCTTTGGGCTATAGGAAGAGTCTCTCGTTGCGTGGTACCTGGTCCTGGGATGATGAAGGCAGAAGAATATTGCCTCCTGAGGTATAAGGGCCAGATAGAGGAGGTATGGCTCTGGATTGGCGAGTTTGCATATTAAAGACATGCTCTCTTGGGCCTTTGCTACCTCTAAGAATTGGCTGGCCCTGGGAGGGTAGGGTCATTCTCTCCCCAGCCAGAAAGGTTTTTTTAAGATGTCAAAACATCATATTGTACAGAAAATAAAATACACACAGACACACACACACACACACACACACACAAATACAAATACATCTCTTCATTTATTTAGCTTGTCTTTGATTTTTTTAAAAACAACATTGTTTATATTTATATTATACATAACTTATCAGTCTAGTGGTGTCATCATTTTACCCATTCAAGTGAAGTATAGAAAACTTACCTCCCTTTTCAACATTTAATCTCCCTCATTTTTATATAGTTGTCTTAAATATATCCTCTAAATACATTTAGAACGAAATCACGCATTTTCCTAACATTTACTTCAACCATCCAACATAATTTAGAAAACTTAATAGGAGGCGGAAAGCCTATTGTATTTACATGTATTTTTGCCTACCATGTTTTTGCTTCCTTCCTGATTTTCCAAGGTTCTTTTTTTTAAAAAATAATTTCCTTTCTCTTTAGAATACTTCCTTTATCCGTTCTTTTATGATAGGTATGCTGGTGACAAATTGCTCTTTTTGTAGGTAAAAAGAAAAGGCTGAATATTGTTAATTTCAGATGGGTTCAAGGTAATACTAGTGGATGATCCGTATGGGTTGAAAGAAAAGGAAGACTGTGTGTAGAAGTGACCTGCAAGGGCTAATGTGATGTATATGATTCCTTTTTCCTCCTCAACCACTTTATATGGGGGATTCACTGTGTGTAAGGCAGTGGGTAGTGGGAGTTACACAAGGTGGTATCCCTGTACAGGGGAATACTACTCCGCAACGAAAAAGAACGAGCTGTGTATAAACATAACAACATGGAAGAATCTCAAATGCATCGTGCTAAGTGAAAGAAGCCAGACAAATAAGAATACATAGTATATGATTCCATTAACGTAAACTCTAGAAAATGCCAACTAATGACAGAACGTAAATCAGTGGGAGGAGAGAAAGGTAGTGAAATGGAGGGATTACCAAGGGAACTTGAGGAAACACTTGGGGATGTTGCTATCTTGTTTGTGGTGGTGATTTCACTGGGACGTGCGTATGGCAGACATATCTAATTGCGCACTTTAAATATACGCAGCTCTGGAAATTCCCTGGCGGTCCCGTGGTTAGGAGTGGGCACTTTCACTGCCGTGGCCCTGGGTTCAATCCCAGATCAGGGAACTAAGATCCTGCAAGCCTCACGGATGGCCAAAAAAAAAAAAAAAAAAAAAAATGCAGCACATTGTAGGTCAGTTGTAACTCAATAAAGCTGTTCAGAAAAACCCACATCAGCAAGTGTTCCTCTCATGCATGACTATTGTGCAGCTCCCTGATGTGCAACTCCAACTTGTCCACACTCTTGTTTTACAATACGGGTCCAGTGATTACACGCTGGGATGTTGTAGCATCGTCAAATTGCTCTGAAAGTTTTTAAGTGCTCAGTTTCAGTTTTTAAACTTCTTAATTTAAAAAAAAAATTTTTATTTTTTGTTTATTTATTTTTGGCCGCGTTGGGTCTTCATTGCTGCGCCTGGGTTTCTTTTCTCTAGTTGTGGTGAGCGAGGGCTACTCTTCGTTGCAGTGCGCGGGCTTCTCATTGCTGTGGCTTCTCTTGTTGCGGAGCATGGGCTCTAGGTGTGCGGGCTCAGTAGTTGTGGCTTACAGGCTTAGTTGCTCCGTGGCATGTGGGATCTTCCCAGACCAGTGCTTGAACCCGTGTCCCCTGCATTGGCAGGCGGATTCTTAACCACTGCTCCAACAGGGAAGCCTTAATTAATTTTCAAAGTGAGATATAATTGACATATAACATTGTATTAGTTTTAGCTGTAAGACCTAATGTTTTGATATATGTTCAATTTAAAAACTTATATCTTGTCACAGTAAGAAATCATCTTGTTTGTGCACCATGTTTTCAGTTGCACGCGGTGTTTCGGAGCAATGCTTCCACACTATTTATATGCAGTTTTTTCCCATCTCATTCTATATGTATCATTCTGAAACCGTTACACCCTACTTCATGGTCACAGTATCATTTGATTAACCTGTGTTCTGGGTTATACATTCTGGCATGGAGCACATGGGATTTTCTCAGCATGAGTCCTAGGAAATTAACTAGATCTGATAAAACATGCTGCCGGATTTCAAAGTGGATTATACTGGAATGTTGGTATAATGTTGCCCCACTTGTATTTTTGAAGGAATCATTTAAAAGTTTCATGCAGTGTAAGAATTTTTCAAACTGGGGTGCGCTGGAGCATCCCAGGGATCTGGCATGGGAAAATCTGTGTTCAGGTTCTGGCTTCCAAGTGGACTGGGTGGCATGGGGGCAAGCTGCTGCAACTCTCTCAGCCTAGGTTTTCTGGCTTTAAAGGTAGAGCAACGGTTCCCTCACAGAAGATTGGCGATATAGTGAAAATGCTTGGTAACTGATAAGTGCTGTAAGTCGGTAAGTTTATTTCACTGGGTGTATTTGTATCTTCGTCTGGGAGAGTTACTGTTTTTTTCCTCCAGGAATAAGGCCCATATATTGAAAATAATTTGGAAACCAGTTCTTAAAAATGCAAGGTGAATTTTGTAGAGTGTCTTGCCTGTTACATATAGGCTAAAGAACCAAGAGATACACATGAAATAATATACTTTTTCCCTCTCTTTTCAGGCAGTTACTCTCTTAACCGAATTAATTAGGGAAAACTTCAGGAACAGCAAATTAAAACAGTGCCTTTTACCAACCCTGGGAGAGCTGATCTATCTTATAGCCACCCAGGTAAGATTGGTTAACTCTGTTGTCCTTTGATGTGTTCTGACATATCATGGCAGATATCAAAATAAAAGTTTTTTGATTTTGCCCCTTTGAGCACACCTAAGGAATTTAGGAAAATTTTTACCTCTGGAGGAGACAGGCTCTCAAGTGTCTTTCTGACACTTCTTCTATCTCTCCTTGTGTGTCTTCCCTCTCTCCCCCAGTGCCTCTTTTTCTTCGAAGTGTAGGAGATTCTCAGGCTGTATTTTAAAACCAGTGGACCGGAGTCCCCAAAGTACTTCCTAGGTTGCTGCCATCTTTGACTCCTTTTTGCAAGAGGGTCCTGTTGGTTCTCTCAGTGTAAAAGCGCCATTATTATTTAAAACACTATGTGTAAATATAGCTCTTAACATGGCATGAGAATTTGTGACTGCAGAATTTGACTTCTTATATTTGGGAATATATTGAATAGATATAGATAAATTATGAGTAATTCATTTCATGTGATGCTCTGAGTGTTTTAATAAGTACCAGTAAGTTATGAGTTAATCAAAAGTTCTCTCCTTGTACTTATGTTTTGCTTCTAGAACTTGCTTAAATGTTATATAACCTGAGTATCCTTAGTATCTAAATTGACTTTCTGGATGATGATCATTTTAATGCAATTAACTTAATTATTATAAAACATCAGCATTTAAAATTATTTAGTTCCATGCTTAGTATTGATAGCCTGTACAGCAAGTCTCACCTCCTTAGTCTTCGTTTTCATAAATGTCTTGGCTATTCCTGGCCCTTTACATGTCAGAATAAATTTTAGAGTCAGATTGTCCAATTCTGAAATCATCTTTTGAACCCTGCATTGACTATACAGAAATACTGCTGTCTTTGTGATTTTGAGTCTTCTAATGCATGTTCGGGATTGCACTGCATCTATGAGGGAAGTATTAGCACATTTATGATATGTTGTCCTTTAATGCACAAAAAAATGGTGTTTTCATATATTTATATTAAAAGATTTTTCATTTAAGTCATGTAAATTATTGGGTTGGCCAAAAAGTTCGTCATCTTAACAGAAAAACCCAAATGAACTCTTTGGCCGACCCAATATATTTCACTCATAAAGCTTTTGTACATTTAGCTTGGTTGAGTTTATTCTCAGGTAAGTTTATATTTTGAAGAGATACATTCATGAAACTAGAAAACTTGGAAGTATAGAAAGGTATACAGAGAAGGGCCTCTTTTCTATTTCTGTCCCCCGTCTGTGTAGTTCCCCAATAAATAACCATTACGATTACTTTCTTACTTATATTTACATCATTAGTTTTGCACAAATGAGCGATTAGAAATGTAGATTCTTACTTTGTCTCATTTTATATAGCAAGTAGAGCAACTTTTTTCACTTAATAGTTACACAGTATTAAAAACAGTGTATGGTGATACATACACTGGAGCTATTTCTTAATAATTAATATGGATGTCTTTCTCAATTAGTACTTAGAGCTCCCTCCCTCCTCCTCTTGCACTGGAACATTCTCTTGTGTGCTGAGTTTTGTGAAAGATAGTTTTCCTTGCAGTTCTTCGGGGATGGGGCTGGAGAGTTTATATTGACTTTACTCTTACCTTGGGCCCTGGAGGCCTTGACATCAAAGCTCAAATTTACCAAGTTCTGCAGGCCCTCAGAATAAAAGCAGACTTCAGTGCTCTGTTTATCCCTTCATGCTTGCAGCTAATTTTTGGCTTGATTATTCTTTGTTTTCTTGTCAGCTCTCTGAGGCATTTTAAGGATACAGAATAAAACTGCTTTCCTTAGAAGAAAGGTCAGGTATCTCAGACCACAGGAAGTGTGGTCTGCCATCTTATCATGGGTGGGAGTCTAGTCCAATTTTGTGGGGGGGCATGTGTCCCATTTTTTTTTTTTTTACCTTCCCCCCCAGCTTAATTGAGGTATAATTGGCATACCATAAACTGCACACATTTAAAAATTAAAATTTGATCAATGCTAATATATGCATACATCTGTGAAACCATCACCACAGTCAAGATAATGAAAATATCGCCTCCAAAAGTTTTCTCAGCACCGTTTGTTACCCCTCCCTCCTGCCCCTCTCCCCACCCCCAGGCAACCGCTGATTGCCTTCTGTCATATAGACTAGTTTGCATTTTGTAGAGTCTTATATAAATGGAATAATGCAGAATCATATTTCTGTTTGTTTCTAAAAGTAGATCTAGAGACTCATTTCCCTTGGTTCTCACTTTAATTGGACGTAAGCTAGGCTGTTTTAATAAAGGGGTGATTCTGTGGCCCTGACATTTGACCACATTTTATGATAGCAAACCAGAAAACGAAGTTATGTCCATGGACCCACACAAATCACTAATGTTTCATGAGATGAGGCTGTTTGTGGCATTGTCACTTAGAACATAGGTAAACCTTAACATCTCAGGTCAGTGCTGACGTAGTGAGACTGACCTGAAGTGATTGTTATATGTATACGCGCACACACACATACATACGTACATACGTGCATATCGTATATAATGTAGACACCTAAGTCCTGTCCTTTTGATTATCTGGTAACACCCTAAGGTTATAAGCATGAGAACAGAAGACCAGACTGTGATTCTGACGAGGATATTATGAGGCAACACATTTATAGTTTGTGTATTTTTTTCCTGACTTTTGTCAAGGATACATACCACATTGAGGCCAGGTATTCTTATATTTTGTCCTTTTTGTCCAGCGCATAATCATTTCCAGATGATCTCCTTGCTTCACTCTTGTGTCCATTGAAGTCTTCCCCAAACATCAGCCAGAGTGAGCCTGTTAAACCCATGAGACTCTGCAGTTGTCACTCCTCAGAGCCCTCCCATGCTTCCTGTCTTCCCGGTTGTCAGAGCTAAATCTCCATATGACCTCTGCCCTCACGACCCTCTTACTTGTTTCCTCCTCCCAGGCGCACTGCCCTCCCCACAGTTCCCTGAAACCCCTCGTACCCTGATCCTGCCTCCACACCTTTGCATTTGCTGTTCCTCCTGCTTGCATTGTTTTCCCCCAGATGTTTACAGTTTCTCTCTGCTCACATGGATCCCTGCAGAGAGCCTTCTCCTGGCCCTGAGCAATGTGAGATGTAGCCTCTCTGACTACAGTCTTCCTCTAACCCCTTAGCCTGCTGTGCTTTTCTTCCTTTTTTTTAATTAAAATTTTTTTTTTATTGAGGTATATAGTTGATGTACAATGTTGTGTTTAATTTCAGCTGTACAGCAAAGTGACTCAGTTATATATATATATGTAAATATATTCTTTGTAATATTCTTTTCCATTATGGTTTATAACAGGATATTGAATATAGTTCCCTGTGCTATACAGTAGGACCTTGTTTATCCATTGCTATGCTTTTCTTTATAGTGCTCATCACTATCTTGACTTGTTTATTTTGTTTAATTAAAAAAAAAAAAACTTTGTCCCCCACTAAATACCATTAAGACAGAACGTTTATCTTTCTTGCTCACAGCTTTGTGGCTATTGTTTAGAAGAGTTCCTGGCACACAGTAGGTGCTTTTTTCCCCTCATGAACTGCACCAAGGCCAATGGGACTGGAGGGGAATGAGCAGGAAGTAGGGCTGCAGAGACTGGCAGGGACGAGACTGTGGAGGGCTCCTCGGCCAAGTCGGATGCCTGGGTCTTGATCCTGAGAGCGAGGGGAAGCCGATAAAGTTTTAAGAAGGGTAAGGGTGTCATCTGATTTAAGTGCCACAAAGATGACTCTGGTTTAAATGTGGAGAATAGATTGGAGGATGGTAAGAGAGGCTTCTGGATCCTAACGGAGAGTAAGTGAAGCAGGAGCAAACTTAGGAGAGGAGTGGGCATTTCAGAAAAGAGAAGGTCGATAGGCCTGAATGTCCAAGAAAGAGGACCACAGAGTCCCCTGGCTTGAGTGACACGAAAGTCACTGGTAACCCAACAAGAACTGTTTCGTGTATTTATTTATTTAACGTGGAGTGAGTGAGGCCGAAGAAGTCAGACGGCAGCGGGTTGAGGATTTAGGGGGAGGTGAGGACACTTGAGGAAGTGAACGTAAAGCTTAGGATGGTTGTGGGAAAGAGCGGAGGGGCGAGGGGCTGTTGTGAGAATGGGAGACAGCAGGGGGCCAGATCAAGCTGGCGGAATAGAAGGATGTGGAGCTCACCTTCTCCCACAAAGACATCAAAAATACACCTCCAGGGGACTTCCACTGCTGGGGGCACGGGTTTGATCCCTGGTCGGGGAACTAAGATAAGATCCCACATGCCACGTGGCCCAGCCAAAAAAAAAAAAAAAAGGGAAAAACATCTACATGTAGTTCTCATAGCACATCTGAAAATGGGAGATGACAGTGAGTCTGTTCTAGTGGAAATGGAAGAGATCCCGTGGAGATAGGACATCGGGCACTTAGGAGCAATAAGGGATGGTCCAGACCCTAGTGACCCTGAAGAAAGTAGGGTGGGAATGGGCTCGTGAGCCCACGTGGAAGGGGTGGAGGAGCCTGTCCTGCTGTAACCACTGGGTATGAGCAGCAGCTCGCTGCAGGTGGAGGTGAGTTAATAGTTCCTTTCTCATCACTTCCATGGTCTCCGCGGAGGAGGAAAAGTAGGTGAAGAGATGGCAGGGCCGCGGGGATGAAATACTGTGGTCCTTTAGGAGAGGGAATTGGTCAGAGAGAGAGACAGGCCTGGGGAGTGATGTGGAAGGTTCCTGGGCTTACTGATCCTAGCTCCTTTGTGGGCTCTGTGTTCTTGGTGTCACCCCTCCAAGAGCCCAGCTGTCTGAGCGCAGGCCTGGAGAAAACAAGCCACTGGCTCCCTCTAAGGTTGAGTTTCCCTGGGCCCAGGACAAGGGCACTCCAGAGGGTGAGGCCATTCAGGCCTTTGGCAAGAGTAATTAAATGATAGACCAGGAATCTAAATGGCTGTCAGGGAGGGTAGGGGATAGACTGGGGGAAAGAGAAGGGGGGGAGGGGAGACGGGGAGCAGAGTCCAGTGATGTTAAGGAAAGGTTGTGGTGGGCCTCCTGAATAAATGAGCTATAGAAGGGAGGAAAGTTGTGTTTGGAAGTTGAATTGCGTGCTGAGTTCGCGATTTTTGGGCTGGAGCACCTCTGGATGGTAATGTCTAGATTATGACCCTATGTGGAATTCCATGATTAAGGGTACAGTTTTAATGGGTCACAATTCTCATCATGGGTATTAAATACTTTTGGATCAGTAAGATACCAATTCTTACATTTGCACAATCTTAAAGAAACATTCTAAGCAGAGCTGAATTTCTTCTGCTGTAAAGAGATAATTGTTTTGCACCTTTCTCTGTGGCCCCTGGTTTAGTTTGTGATTTTATTTGATAGGTTCCAGGAGTGTTCTTGCGGTTATCTCTCTAATTTGGTTTTTCTGTGAAAGAATTTTTCCTGATGTCATTAAAATCAGTGTACCCGCCAATCATAATTGCTGACTTTTATTGAGCTTTGTCTTGCTAGGTAGCATCCTGAGTTTTACTTGTTCCTATGGATTTTCCGGAGATACTACTCAAAGCTGTGTGTTCTGTGCTTTCAAATCATTACAGATAATGTCATACCTTGTAGGTAGGAGTAGCTGTATCATCACCTACAGTTATCAGTGGAATGGTTTCTCTATCGACCAGGTCATACTGTCATTTCTTTTTTTTTTTTTTTTTTTGCGGTACGTGAGCCTCTCTCCGTCGTGGCCTCTCCCGTTGCAGAGCACAGGCTCCGGATGCGCAGGCCCAGCGGCCATGGCCCATGGGCCCAGCCGCTCCGCGGCATGTGGGATCCTCCCGGACCGGGGCACGAACCCGCGTCCCCCGCATCGGCAGGCGGACCCTCAACCGCTGCGCCACCAGGGAAGCCCCATACTGTCATTTCTTAGTTCTTTCCATCCAGCTACTGCTGAGGGGATCTTACCAACATCATATACAACATAATGAGAAACAGAAGTACCTTGTGTGTACAGTGCAGTAAAAGACCCCTCATCAGGTCATAATTGTCAGGCCGTACTTTCAATAGAATGTTAAGAAGTTTTAGGTAGTTTGTATATATGAAACCGAACCTTTTTCTTGAAAGGGTTAATATCTTTTGTGCTATTAGCTTCACTGCCTTTCCTTCCACTTCATTTTAGGAAGAAAAAAAAAAGAAGCCCCGAGAATGCTGGGCTGTTCCCTCGGCTGCATACACGGTGCTAATGAGGTGCCTTCGGGAAGGGGTAAGCCTCCTTTGTTGTCCTCTGTAGACGCTTGCAATTGTAATAACCCTTCAGGCACTGTGTGAGGATTGTAGCCTGCAGCAGTGCAGGAGCCTGTCAACCAAGCACTGTATTGCTCCTGAATTTAAGTAATGCCGACAGGCCACTGTGAGCCAGGGACCTACAGTGGATCAAGTGTAAAAACGAACTAACTCTCATTCACTTGTTTAAATGTCTTGCTTTTTAAGTGGTGATAGCAAATATAAACAACCTAACTAGTTCTCAATAACGTATACTTAATCCTCCCCTCTCTTTTAAAGTTATCAATGCAACAGTTTAACAAGCAAGGTGTATGCAGGGAATTTTCTGCGAACCTCAACATCCCCGTGATTATCTTGTCAGGTTGCCATTTTGTGGTTCAGGAACAGGGAAGCTGCCACTAGTATCTGTTGATTTTAATATTAAGTAGTAATTATTATGTGATGTGGGTTTTTTTTTTTCAATGTATTCACATCCCTTCTCATGCTATTGTTAATGGCTGAAAACCAGCCAGCTGGTCAACCGACCAACCTGAATCCGTAACTGCTGTGTATAATTGTGTAGAGGATTTAGTAACTGACCTAAAAGGTTGGCATTTTTCTGTTTGCTTTAAACCTTGACATTGTTTCACCCAAGGCAGAGCCATAAGCTAAAAACATTCCTAAAGGGATGAAAAGAACACATGTCAGAATAAACATCTTTCTTTTGAATTCATTACTTCATGCATTATATGGTAATGGAATGATGTCCCAAGTGGAGAAAAATCTCTGCAAGGTTTTCCCCTAGTGATCCAGAAAGGAGGTGTGAACACTTACCCGCCTGTAGGGTTAACTATGTAGTCAGTTGTCACTGTGGGATGTGAATGAAGCCAGTATTCTGTACTTTATCAACAGTATGAGAATTAAGTTATTTTTATCTGTAGTCAAAAGACATGTTTGGATTTATCATTCAAGGCCTCAAGCTAGGCACACCTGGGGGCACATGGATGAAGAAGGTGGAATTTCTGTTCATGCACAGACCCTGCCTGTTGTGGGAGCTGGGATAAGAATATAAAGTGGAATCTCTCAAGTACATTCATGCAAAAGAACAAAATACAGGAGGTCAAAGGAGAAAGGAGTCTTCTAGGAATTTTTTAAATGGTGTAAAGAAATTTTTAAAACTTTGTGTCTTTAATTTATAAAACTTAGACTAATGCCTAGTAAAAGATGATCAATTCTAATCCATGACGTGGTATCCTTTATTAAATATATCCTCCCTAACCCCTCCTGTGTTTTCATTGAGTACATACTATAAAGAATAGCGTTTGAGGGCTTCCCAGGTGGCGCAGTGGTTGAGAGTCCGCCTGCCGACGCAGGGGACACGGGTTCGTGCCGCGGAGCGGCTGGGCCCGTGGGCCATGGCCGCTGGGCCTGCGCGTCCGGAGCCTGTGCTCCGCAACGGGAGAGGCCACAACAGTGAGAGGCCCGCGTACCACACACACACAAAAAAGAATAGTGTTTGATATACATGTGTATTGTTAACAAATAATAACTGTAAAATAGCGATGTAGCTAATGATATAGTTAATGAATACTGCACACTTGCCTTTTATTGTCTTGGTATGTATGACAAGTCTTGTATACTTTTCATTAAGAGGGAGAAAAGTCCAGAACTCTCTAATTGATGAAAATTTTATGTGTTTGAAAAGCATTTAAGTGTATGCTTTGGCAGCATGTACACTAATATTGTCCCTATTAAATAAATTCAGAGGTGATCTCCCCCGCTAAGAAAGGATTTCTATCCTTACAAAAATAATTCAGTTGTAGCAATTCTTTAGCATATTTGTTTAATGTATTCAGGACATAGTTGAGGTAAAAAAATTTTAAGCCACTTCAGTGATTAAAAAAAATTTTTTTTAATGTAGAAAACTATTTTCCCAGCCCCTACTGGTATTTCTGAATGTAGGTTCTTTAATAGTGAAATGTACCTCATATACAGAAGAATATATGAAATGTAGGAGTATGGTTAAAAGCACACACTCTGACCCACTTACTCTATTTAAAAAAAAAGTTGGGGGGACTTCCCTGGTGGTGCAGTGGTTAAGAATCTGCCTGCCAATGCAGGAGACATGGGTTCGAGCCCTGCTCCAGGAAGATACCACATGCCGCAGGGCAACTAAGCCCATGGGCCACAGCTACTGAGCCTGCACTCTAGAGCCTGTGGGCCACAACTACTGAAGCCCTCGTGCCCTAGAGCCTGCGTGCTGCAACTACTGAGGCCTGCGTGTCGCAGCTACTGAAGCCTAGGGCCCGTGCTCCACAACAAGAGAAGCCACTGCAATAAGTCCATGTACTGCAACGAAGAGTAGCCCCCACTAGCTTCAACTAGAGAAGGCCCGCACGCAGCAACGAAAACCCAATGCAGTGAAAAAAAAAACAAAACAAAACAAAACAAAAAACGCTGAGGGGAGGTCGCTGGTTGCTTAGAGAATTTTTTTCTCTCCCTCTAGGATTGCAATTCGTACTTTCTTTCAAAGAGTAAACACTATTCTGAGTTCGGTGATAAACTTTCCCAAGGGTTTCTTTCAATTTTTTTCTCTTTTCTTTTTACTTTCCCAAGTTTTTCTTTATAGTGTTTCCCTTTTTGAATGTATTGCTAAATATTATGTTGATTGAGTCTAAATGTTGAACTCTATAAATGGACTGGCACTGTGTTCTTTTGAGACTTAAGTTTTTTGCTTAAAGTTAGGTTGAGATTGGTACATGCTGATTGTGTAAAGTATTTGTACCGCTGAATAGTATGTTGTTGATGTGTGCCTCAGAGACACACGTGTGTATCAGTTTATACTCACACCAGCAGTGTATAGGAGTATCCGTTAACTCACATCTTCTTGAACATTTGATATAGTCAGACTTTAAGTTTTTGTCAGTCTCGTGGGCATTAAATTGTTTCTCAAAGTAGTTTTAATATGCATTTTCCTGATTACTAATGAGAATGACCATCTTTTTCTATTTATTTTGGTTTCTGTAGTTTTTCCTGTTTTGAAAATGATTGTCTTAAATTTTTTCTGTTGCTTTGTAGGAATTCTGCACACCTTCATTCCCACCCTCCCACCCACCCAACCTGTTGTTATAAAATGTTTCAAGTATTAGAAAAGGAAAGAAAACTATAATGATCACCTCTATTTACATCACCTAGGTTCAACTGTTAACGTTTTGCCCTCTTTGCTTTGTTGTAGTATGTGTGTGTGTATATCTTTCCATATATGTGTATTTATTATTTATTCATTCAGTTATTTTCTGAACTGTTTGAAAAAATTTCAGATGTCATGGTACTCCATCCATAGGAATTTTTAAAAAATGTATTCTGGACGTTAATTTTTTGTTTATGTGTATCCCAGATACTTTCTAATTTGTGTTTGGTCTTTTTCTTTACAGTGTCTGTTGATAAGCAGAAGTTCCTAATTTTAATAGAAATTTAGCAATCCATTCCTTTATTATTTGTGTTTTTTATATCTTAAGAAAAGCTTCTCCAACTTCATTAAGATGTTCTATTACATATTTCTTCTAAAAGTTTTATTTTTTCTTTTTCCCTTTAGAAGTTTAATCTATTTGTAATTGTTTTGTGTGTGTGGTGCTATGTGTGGATCCAGTTTTATTTTTTAAAATAAACATAATCTGTTATCCCAGCATCACTTAATTAAAACTCCATCTTCCCCCCACGGCTCTGCATTGTACCTCTGTCATGTCAATGTGCATGTCTCTTTCTGGTCTCTATTTAGTTCTGTTGGCCTATTATCTGTGCCATGCTGTCTAAATTAGTAGTATTTATTTTTAATAATTTAAAAATATAGAGGGGCATTTTTTCTTACCATTTTAATCTTTTTCATGAGTTTCTTAGCTTTTTTTGGTTCCTTTTTTACTTAAAAAGTTGATTCTAAAAGTTATATGCGGGTTCACCTGTTGGGATGTTGATTGAGAGTATGTATCTGTGAATACATTTGAGGAGAATTGGTTGATAGTAGTGAAAATGGAAGGCATACTCAGTGAGAAAACTAAAAAGAGAATGACACATTTGGTTTAGAAAACACTGGAATAAGATGATTGAAGTTCCTTTGAATTCCTGATGACATTCAGCTAATGTATTTAATTCATTGCTTAAGTTAACTCTCTCATGTACAGCTCCCGTTCTTCACAGGTCGCATTTGTGAAACATATTTTGTATTGGCTGGACACAGGAAAGGCGAAAATGATTAAGACACTGCCCTATCTTCATTTATTCGTAAAGAAAATTTTTTTTATCCCTGGTTCAGTATGCCATTTATTGTTGTTTTGTAACTACATTTGCTTTTTTTTTTTTCCTTTTTCTTTCTTGTGTAGTTACTAAGACATTTAAGGCTATTAACTTTCAACCTAGTGTTAGCTGTATCCCATTGTTTTGACATGTAGTGTTTCCATTATTGTTATCTTATAGATAATCCCTAGTTTAAAATTTTATCTTGGTCCAGGGTTGTTTATGAGATGGTTTAAACTTTTTCAGGTGGGTGGGATTTTATTGCCTCTTTTTTCTTTTGTTGCAATAACAAAGTTGCAGTACTGTATAGATCAAGAACGTGGTCTGTTCTATTTCTCTTGTATTTTTTAAAATTGTGGTAACATATATATATTTAATATAAAATTTACCATCTTAACCTTTAAGTATATAGATAAGTACATTTACATTGTTGTGCTATTTCTGTTGTTCTTAAATATATTGAGATTGTTTTTTGCCTAACTTAGTTGACTTCTTTTTTCCACTTTCAAAACTTAGTAATGTACCTTTTTGGACATAGGCCGTTGATTCTGGTTCGTACTGCCTGTCCTCCTCCCTTTAATCTGTGCATTGAGAGAAGAGTGGAATGGAAATTTTACTTTTTTGTTTTAATTGATACGTAGACTTCTTAGAAGACAATTTTAGTTTTAAATGATACATATTGTTTTCGTTCATTGTGCATAGATAGCTAGCTTTGCCATGGGAAATTCAGGCGTGTTTTAAGGGTTTTCCAGTCAAATACCTCGGGACACACTGGGTTAAACAAGGTTGAATAGTTTCGTTTGTTTGTAGTTAGTACTTTTCGGAGCTTTTATTTATTTATTTACTTTTTTCAGAGCTTTTCATTATGAATCTCCATGGGCGTATATAGTATTCGATGTTTTCAAAGTTATTTGCCCACAGACCTACCTTATCCTGTGGCATGCTGTGAGATCCACAGGGAGAGGAAGATAGTCCTACACTGGGACTGTCATGAGTTTGATTAAATAGTTTTCAGTAGGTTTTCTCTTTCTCAAAAGGTTACCTAAGAGATTATGACCTTGTTCTCCAAACAGGTCAACCTGTTACTATTTCTATAATTTTAACAATGGTAATAGAGATGTGAGTCAAATGCCTTTGATCTTGTTCCAGATGTAAATGCTCAGGTGGAAAGAGGGGGAGTATTTAGAGTGAGAGACTTAAGGTGGAACACGCAAAAAAAAAAAAAAAAAAAAAAAAAAAAGGAAGATATGGTATAACTGTTTTAAAAAGAGTGTGGCAATATAGAAGAAAAGGTACCCATGATGACACTGAGTCATTGCTTCAGAGTTGGGGCTGGCATTTTGGAGACCTTGAGCTGGGAGTCAGAGGATGTGGATTTCAGTCCCTGGTGTGCCACTCTTGAGTAGTTTCATATTGGCCAAGCCCTGGGGCCCCATCTGATGTTTTGTATAAGGAAAGGTACCTGTGTTGGTTGATCGTCCACATGCTTCTGACTTGGGCTCTCTTTGACAGCTTTCCATTCCGTTGCTTTGACCTATTGTAGACAATAGCAAAGAGCAATTTTCCCCTTGGTGTCATTGCTGTATTGATGTCAGGAATATTTGGCACTGAACTTAGATGGCATATGTTCTGTATGTGCATGGAATAGGGACGCTGAGAAAGCTGGCTTTTCTTGAAGGTAGTTATTTTTATCTGGATAGGTAGCAACCTACTGTACAGTACGCACGGAAGCTGGAAATAGTACCTAGAGTGTCTCCACGTGTTTAGAGAAGATTAATTTATGCATTTGTATCGAATCAACCACCTCCTTTTTTATAGCTTGCATAATAGTCTATATGATTATGGATGCTGAACTGACAACTGGCATATGTTAAAATGTGAGGTTCAAAAAAATAAATGGTTGGCTTTATTATTCATTTCTGAACAATAGCTTATTAGATAATTTTGATGTAACAAAATTCTTTAAAAAGGAAATTGAATTTTCAGTTGTAGTGGTTTTTAAAAAAGAAAACTGGGTAAATTGCTTGTATTAGAAAAAGATGGGGCTTGAATTAGAATGTATAGAGGTGTTAGCCATTATATGTATTATCTTTCAAGTGTTGTTAGACACTAGTTAACGAAAATGAGAGAGAAGTTAAAATTCTTGATACTGGATAAAAGTGAAAATGTACAGCTGTATTTTCTGTTTTTGTAACTGTCACAGTTTAAGTTTAATCTTCCTAATAAAGAATGTGTCTGCCATCAACACTGGGTTCTCTGCGGGTACGCACAGTTCTCCTTGCCTTTATGTAGTGAAAGTGAGCAACATGTATGTGGAATAGGAATGATGCAGGGTTTCTTGTGTTTTTCCTTTTAATATCACTATTCATAATATTTGGAATGCTGTTATTAGTAGGATGCAGTACTGAGTATGGAGTTACCTAATGTGTCTTGAAGCAAACCTTTGAGAATGGCACAAAGAAGCGATCCTGAGTTTGCACTGAGTAGGGAGTAGACCAGCTTTCAGAGACTTGGTGCGGTAAGAGGCACAAAGTATGGTATGTTCACTGCTAGGGTGAGATTTATACCTCCTCTTCTCCCGTGGCAGATCATCTTCAGAGGGAAGCTCCACAGGGTTCTACGATTTATATTGGTTCCGTTTCTCTGTAAACTTTCATGTTCCTTTAACTGTTTTATCCCATTACATGCTTTGTAAACTTAACAAGTTCTATACCTCTTTTGTTTCTTTCTCATTTAATACCTGTCTTTATGTTTTTTCTATTTATCTTTTTATTATTTAATGGTATTGTGGTTAGAGGGAGTGGTGTATATATGATTTTAAATCTTTGGTATTTGTGGATACTTCTCTCATGACTCAGTATGTGTATGTACTTAGGGGGGAAAAAAAGGTGAATTCTGCCATTGTTGGGTGATGTGCTTTTTTTCTTACAGTAGGCCAAGCTTGTTAATCTGATAGATAGATATAGATAGAAATCTATGTTCATGCTGATTGTTTTTTGTCTGTTTTATCAGAGATAGGGATTTAAATTGTTTTTCAGCTTTATTGAGGTATGATTGACATAAAATTGTAAGATATTTAAAGTGTACAAAGTGATGATTTGATATATGCATACATTGTGAAAGGATTCCCCCACTGAGCTAACACATCAGTCGTCTCATATTTTATCCCGTTGACCTTTTTTTGGAGTTGGGGTGAGAACATTTAAATTCTCCTCTTGTAGCAAATTTCAATTATACTATATGGTGTTATCAACTAGAGCCACATTGTTTTACATTAGATCCCCAGACCTTATTCATCTTACAGGTGAAAATTTGTACCTTTTACAATCCTGTCCCTAGTTTCCTCACTTTTACCTTTGTTTTTTTGGTTTGTTTTTTTAAGAATGTTCCTTTTTAAAATTTATTTTAAAATATTTATTTATTTTTACTTTTGGCTGCATTGGGTCTTTGTTGCTGCACATGGACTTTCTCTAGTTGTGGCCAGCGGGGGCTACCCTTTGTTGTGGTGCTAGGGCTTCTCATCGCGGTGGCTCCTCTTGTTGTGGAGCACAGGCTCTAGGCGCGTCGGCTTCAGTAGTTGTGTCTCATGGGCTCTAGAGTGCAGGTTCAGTAGTTGTGGCACTTAGGCTTAGTTGCTCCGTGGCATGTGGGATCTTCCGAGACCAGGGCTCAAACCCGTGTCCCCTGCATTGGCAGGTGGATTCTTAACCACTGCGCCACCAGGGAAGTCCCTTACCTTTAGTTTTTGAAGGGTGTTATTGTTGGATATAGATGTATAGGTTGAAAGTTATCTTTTTTCTTTTTCTTTTGGTACTTTAAAGATTGTTCCACTGTCTTCTGGTTTGCATTGTCTCTGATGAGAAGTCTCCTGTCATCTTTATTTTTGTTAGGTTATGTGTTAGATAATCTCTACATAATGTGTCTTTTTACTCTAGCTGCTTTTACAGGTTTCTCTTTATTACTGGTTTTTAGCAGTTTGATGATGATGTACCTTGGTGTGACTTTTCTTTTTTCTACTTGAGGTTATTGAGCTTCTTAGAGTGTGAATTATTAATTTTCCTAAATTTGAAAAAATTTCAGCCAGTAGTTCTTCAAATATTTTTTCTGCCTCCCTCTGCCCCCTTTTGGTATTCTCATTGCACATACATTAGGTTGTTTGAAGTTGTCCCACAGTTCACTGATGTTCCGATGCTTTTTTCTTTTTTACCCAGTCTTATTTCTTTTTGTGTTTATTTTGGATAGTTGTTTCTTTTGTTTCTTTTTCTTTCTTCTTCCTTTTTTTGCTAAGTGTTGTGTCTTCACTAATCTTCACTAATCATTGAGTCTGCAGAGTCTCATATGTTAATCCATTTCAGTGTATTTTTCATATAAGGCATTATAATCTGTAGCCCTTTGATTTGGATCATTTTAAAATTTTCTATTTCTTTCCTTATGCTTCTTTCTTCTTTCTTTCTTCTTGAGTGTATGGACTGTATAGTAGCCATTTAAATACTTTTTTCTTATTCTGTCACCTGTGTCATTTCCCTTAATTAAATTTTCTTTTTATGAGTCATATTTTCCAGCTTTTTAGTGTGTGTGAATTTAATTGGATGTCAGACGTCGTGATTTTTATGTTGGGCACTTTTGTTTCTTTATAGCCTTTTAAGTACTTTTGTGCTTTTTCTTGGACTCATTTAAGTTACCTGGAAACAGCTTGATCCTTTTTGAGACTTTTAAGCATTGTTAGAACAATCCAGAGCAGCCTTTAGTCTAAGGGGTAATTTGGTCACACCACTGGTGCAGTCTCTTTCTTCGGACTTTCCTTGATGCCCTGTATTTAGGTGGTCATTAGCTTATTGGTACACTCATTATTTCCGGCCCTGAGTAATTTCTGAAGATTGTTCTGCATACTCCTTATGATTTTAAAATTATCTTCCAGTTTTTATGTTATGCTGTAAGCTATAATAGTGTATCTTCTAGATTATTTCAGCCTTTTTATTGAAATATGTGGAGAATTATGTTATGCTAGGTTTAGTGATTAACCAAATGTAATAGTCTTGTAATAGCCTGAAAAAATGACCACACCTCCTAAAACACCTAACACATCCAGGGGCGCTCTTGGTATCAGGGCTTTATTTATAAAGCAGTGATTATGAAGAAATGATGTGTATACATTTCTTATCCTAAATAATACCTATTTAATTTTCTCATTGTTTTCTACTGCTTCTCTCTCTCTAGGAAGAACGTGTTGTGAATCACATGGCAGCAAAGATTATTGAAAATGTCTGCACTACCTTTTCTGCTCAGGCCCAGGGCTTTATTACAGGAGAAACTGGGCCTGTTTTATGGTACCTATTCAAACATTCTACCGTTGATTCTCTTAGGATAACTGCAATATCGGTAAGATGGAGCATCTTTTGGGGGTATATTTGCATGTATTTAAATACCAAGTTGAAGAACTGTGCTAGATACAGAGTAAATTTCATTGGATAGGTGGAAATCTCAGAGTAACAGTTGGTGAGAACAGTAATTTGATTTTCTCCTGAAGCAGGAGGCCTGTCAGGAAATTCCAGTAGGATCTTGTGTGACCATGAATTACAGTTTCAAAAACTATTTGGAGGTGATAGTGGAAAACCATGGCAGTGGTTAGGGTGCAGGATTTGGTTTGGTATATTTCTAGTGTCCCTTGACTTTTCCTGTTAGCTCCCTCTTTCAGACTTTACGTTAAATGGGTTTACCGTGTCGTTCAAATGAATTCATATTAATGTTCAGGCATCTGTGATTTTGCAGTTTCTGTATTTTGATTGGTTGTCTGCTGCTTTGCTTCCATGGTTATAATGACTTGCTGTGAAGGATAATTATGTATGAAGATGTGTTAACCTGGTTGTATCAGTTTAATAGTCGGTTGAACAGATACAGGCATTTCTCATATGATTTATTTATATACTCTTTTTGATCACCAGTCTTATCTGGACTCTCAACGTTATCTGGTACCCTCCCTGTATTTCTCTAGTCTCGTCATTCTTGTGCTTCTCACTGTGCCAATTTCAGACCTTATCCTCTTTCCTTAACCCTCCAATCCCATGTCTTCCCTCCTGCTTCCTCAGTAAATGGCTTCCCCCTCAGTAAATACTTCCCAGAGAAAAATGGAGACATCCAGCGCGAATTATCCCAGTGTCTGTCTTACACATCTTTGGACCTATTTGCATCCACAACTATCCTGCCTCAGTTCTTTCTCTCCTGTTACAGCTGATGAACTGTCCCTTCTCCTGTCAGAGACAAACGTGTCCATGATTCTTCCTTCTCGTCTTTTTTAGAGAATCTCACTCAAATGGTTATTTTTGCTCTTTCCTAAATCTTTACCCTCTCCTTGTGTACTAGATCTTTCTAATTAGTGTTCAGGTGTTCTTTACCACATTAAAAATAAAAAGACACACATAAAAACATATTCAGAGTTTCTTAGGAGGTACCTCCATCCCTCCTCCCCCCCTCCTCCCCCCTACCCCAGCTATACTTCTTTAAAGGGTTATTGCCACAAGCGTGCTCCTTTCTGGCCTGTTTTCTCTTCAACCCTATCTGGTGTCTGTCCTAAAAACACCAGTGAACTTTCCCAAGGCATCTTTGAGTCACATCTTAAGGCATTCGTTTTAATCCTGGACCTTAAAAAAAAAAAAACCTGTCTTGCTTTAATTGGGTTTATATTACCATTTTCATTTTTATGCTCAGCGTGATTTCTTTTCTTGGCAGAGATTTTTTTCCAGTTGTTTCCACCAAAGTCTCATACCTTCTAGCTCTTTCTTCGTTTGACACGTTAAGCTTCACTCTTTCATCTTGGGCTTCTTATATTTTGTTCTTAGTGTTCATCTAATTTATTAATTTTTCACTGTAATTTTTCCGATTTCCTCCAAAATGTCTCTTCTTTTCTGCTCCAGGATCATGTTCAGTATCATATGTTATATATTGTTTTCATATTTCTTTAGTCTCCTTCAGTTTGAAACAGTTCCCCAGTATTTCTGGGAACTTCATGTCATTTACAAGTTTAAAGGATGCAGGGCTTGTATTTTGTAGGGCAAGGCTCGACCTGGGTCTATCTAGTGTTGTCCCGTTAAACCTCCTTAACATCATTGAGGACCCTTACCTGTAGCATATGCCTCTGTGATGGTTGCCATATGATGACCATCTGTTTCATTCCTTTTATATCAGAGATTGGCAAATACTTTCTATAAAGGGCCAGATGATATGTATCTTGGGCTTTGATGGCCACATATGGTCTGTGTTCCATATTCTCTTTGTTTGTTTTCTTTAACACTTTAAAAATGTAAAAACCATTGTACATTGTTCTCATGAGCTGTACAAAAACAGGCCTTTGGTATTGGTTGGAATTCTATTTTAAAGAAGCTCTTTCCC